AAAAAAAAAAGAGAAGAGGATAGAGAAAGATAGCAAGTGAACAATAGAGGGGATGTTAGTGAGAAACAGATATGGTTTATTATCTGTTGAAGATGACGTGTATAGTATTCTCAACTGGACTGGTCTGGGAAGTATTTCATGATGGGTGAAGTCTTTTAACAAGCAAAATGAGAAATAGTGATTGACTGTTTTAAAAAATTATAATAATAATAATTATTGGGAAATGCATGGAAAAGACTTTGAATGATAAAGCGGGGAGATCGATGCCTCTGTATTGACTGACATGCATGGCATTCCCTTTTGAAAAAGCAATGGAAGTCAATGTAAAGTTATATGTAATCCAATGTAATATAAAGAAAAAAAAAAACATTTCTGGATGGAGGAAAAACAACAACAACAACAAAAAAAAAAGAAAATTCTGGAGTGATTTGTGACTCTTCTTATTCATGTCTTGTGTTCTACAACCAAACTCTGGTCAGTCTGTCAGTTCCGCTACTAATTCCTCCACTTTTCTTCTCCAGCAGCTTCCTGACTGCTCACCTGGCTGATTCCGACCACCCACCCCTTTCCAGTCTGTCCACTCCCACCCATGCCTCTCCTCTCTAAGCCAGCTTCCCACGGCTGGAAGAACACAGGCCCCGCATGCTGCCTCCAGCCTCCCTCTTCTCCTCACTAACCCTCGGCCATGCTGGGTGTCTGTCCCATGGCAGAGCCTTCGTCCAGGCCACACGGCTGGCTCCCACTCGTGGCTCAACAGCCTGGCTCTTCTCCTTCAGACTCAGCTTGAACAGTAACACAGAAACACTGTTCCTAACCACCCTGTCTGTCTGCTTCTGCACATCTCGGATCCTCTTTGCCTTTTTATGGTACTTGCTATGGTTAGACGATTGTCCCTCAAAGGCTCATGTTTTGGAATTTGGCTCCCAGGGTGATGGTGTTGGGAGGCGATGCAGCCTTTAAGAGTGAGGCCAGTGTCTGGATCATGGAGGGGTCATCCTCAAGGATGGATTAGTGCCATCTCCTGAGAATGAGTTCCAGCTCTCGTGAGGGGTTAGTTCCCATGGAAGCAGGTTGTTTGGAAAGGAAAATTGCTGCTCCTGGGGCTCTCTCTTTTGCATACACACATCTGCCATCTTGTCTCCTGTCAGCCATGCGGGGATGTAGCACCTGAAGCCAGCCCCACACTTTGGGACTTTCCAGTCACTGAAATTGTAAGCCAAATAAACCTCTGTTCTTTATAAATCATCCAGTCTCAGGTTTTCTCTTTGCAACACAATAGCAGACTAATAAGGTGTGTGTGTGTATGTGTATGTGTGTGTGTATATATATATATATACATACACATACATATATATATATATACACATACATATACATACACACACACACATATATATACACACACACACACATATAAATAAATTTAATTAATTAATTAATCCTTGCAATGCTTACTCATCTGCTGTCTTGTTTGTATCTGTCTCCCCACCACACCTCAAGCCATGAGAGAACAGGTGCTGTCCCCATCTCACTCCCCATTGTACCCTCGCACCAACCCTGCACTGCTTACATGACTATGCCAGGCATTGTGCTAAGTCATTTATGTGAATGATCTCACTCATTTTTCTCCTGTGAAGTACTTTCCCCCCATTTTTCAGATGAGGAAAGTGAAGGTTAGAAAGTTAAGTAAAGAGCCTGAGGTCATGCAGTTGGGGAGTGACATGACCAGGACTCAAACTGCGTGGCCCAAAACCTAGCTGCCCCCACTACCTTCACCTCTCTATCTATAGCTCTCTATCTACCTATCTATATCTGTATGTATCTATCTATCAATCATCTGTCATCTCTCTCTCACCATCTGTTCCTCCCTCTGCCTGGTTCTTGGCATGGGGAGCATGCAGCATGTTTGCTGAGTGAATGCAATCAACAGCGATCCCGCAGTTCAGGTAGAAAGATGCCCAGTATCACCCCAGTGTTCTTACCATGTAAGATGCTGAGACCAGCTCATAAATGACAGCTTGGGCCCCAAGCTCTGTCACATTAATTAGTCCTGAAACGTCAGCACACACAGACATACACAAAAGATATTTCAAAAAGTCTGTTAAAGTGAACATTTCCCTCATGAAACTAGAATGTATTTTAAAAGGCTGAGAATGCTCTCAGAAGTGTAACTGGTGGCAGAATTCACCATCTGTGCTGAGGAGAACCCAGACACCATTTTCTGGGAGTTACCAAGAACTTGGGCAGCTCAGATGTGACACAGGTTCGAAGCCCCTAACTCCTCTAGAGAAGAAAATGTCAGGTTTTTAAAAAGTGAGGTTCCTACAGTTGCAGGTCTTCCCAGGGAGACAGGGGTCACGAAGTGGGAAGGGAGGCAGCAGAGCTCTCCAAATAAGGGATCTTCAAGAAGTTCATGGAAATGTATATTATGAAAATTTAAAAAAAACTGCATGGGTTTTTAAAATTTGCATAGAAATAAACTCATACTTTAATTCCATTTTGCCATGGACCTTCTGAAGTCCTTTCCTATGGATGAAGGAACTACTGAAGTGTACACAGGTCCACAGAAACTGTAACATCAGTGATTGTCATCTTCTGTCTCCACTGTTTGCTCTCTTACTTTAGTAGTAAGATGGCTAAGGTGAACATGTGGGACCAAAATTATCATAGTTCTGATAGAAACATAGACCATGGCAAAAACAGAAGCAAACCAGCCACTCTGAGTTTCCAAATGTCTTACAAACTTGGCTTGATATTTAGCAAAACAGCCTGAAACACAGAAATGAGCCCCGAGATCTGGGTAAGGTTGTATTTCTCTCACTTCGTGATCTTCATCAAATCTCATACCAGTGGTCTCCCATTTCTCATCTACCAGGTGGAGGGTGCTGCGTCAGTTCATCTCCACCAACCAGAATATGCCTGTGGGTGGACAAGGGCTTGAACCTCTATTGAAAACCTTCATGAGAGTCTGAGGGAATGGGGCAGGGCAGAGAAGGAAAGCTGAAGTGACTTGGGAAACCCTGAGTCCGTGAGGAGCCAGGCTGCGGACTGGTTTCTGCTGACCTGAAAGGAAGGTTCCAATCTCAAAAGTCCACCACTCGATGCACACCATGAACAGACTGGGAACAGCCAGACGGATGTAGGCACCCCACTCCTGGAAGCAGTCTGTGGTCCAACCTGGAGAACAGGGAAGAAGACAGATTTTGTTTGTTTGTTTGTTTAATTTCAAAGGGTACATGTGCTCACCAGAGAGAGAGAGAGAGAAAGCGCCCCTCATCGGAAATGGTCATGCTGCAATCCTTTCTCCTTTTCTCCATCCTATTTGGATTTTGAGAATGCACACACATATGCCTGTGTTTTTCAATCCAGGGTGAAGATTTGAACTGTGTGGTTTGCCATGTAGGATCTAGTTCCCTGTCACCACTGGTGACAGGTCAACCCAGCTTTTAATTTTCAGTAGTCTTGGAGGTCAGCAATTCTTTAATTTTCTTTTTTTTTTTTTTGGTAGATTTTTGCCATAGGACACATTTACTCACGAGAGAGACAGAAAAAGAGGGGAAGTGAGAAATCAAAATCACCCCGTGGGGAGAAGGCCATGCCTTCTCCTCCATTCTCCTCTCAGGATTTTAGGTGCATGTCTACACAGGTCTAGCATGCTTTTTAAGCCACTGGGTTGGGATTAGAACTGTAGAGTAGGCCATGTGGGATCCAGCACCGTGCCACCATGCCACCTGCTGGCCCTCCAACTGCACATCTTAAACGGAACATAAACATGCCTCAACTCAAGTCACGGTTTTCCTCATGCTGACTTTGAAACAAAAAAATCTGAAATGATTAAGAATTATTGTCTGACAAGAGAAACCAAGAGAATGCTGTTTATGCCCAGGTATGGAGGCCGGGCAGAGTGAAACTGAGACCTCTAAGCTTTCACTTCTCGGCATCTGCTTTTATTTTTATTTTATTTATTTGTTTTTGTTTTTGTTTTTGTTTTGTTTTGTTTTTTGAGAGGTTTTTGTTTGTTTGTTTGTTTGTTTTGCTGTAGGGTGAGTGTGCTCGCCACAAAAACAGAGAGAGACAGAGAGACAGAAAGCGAGAAATCTTTGATCCTAATTCTGTATCATTTGTACAAATATACAGGAAACAAAATGGGTTGAAAATGAGCATCTCCTCGGTCGGCTCCATCGAATGGCCTAGTGGATAAGGCAGCTGGATCCCACATGGCCAACCGCATGGTTCAAGTCCCAGACCTGACAGCTTGAGACACACACCAGGCATGTGTATGTGCACACCCAAAATCCTGAAAGGAGGGAGAGAAAGAGAAGTGAGCATAGACACCTTTTACCAAAAGAGAATGATAATAGTGAGTATTCTACTACTTCAAAATATAAAACTTGGGGTCAGCAGATGGCATAATGGTTATGTTGCTGGACTCCCACATACTCCACTGTAGTTTGAGGCCTGGACCTGGAGACTTAAAGCTCATGCCGGTGCATGTGCGTGCATGACCAAGATCCCGAGAGGAGAATGGAGGAAGGGTTTTGACAAGGCCTGCAGGAGGGCTGGGGGATGACTTTTCACTTTCTGTCTCTCTCTGCCTTTCCAAAAAGAAGTTCTAGTCAGAACTATTAGGCAAGAAAAATAAGTGAAGAACACCCAAAGTGGACCAGCCAGTGGCATGATGGTAAGGTAGCTGGATCCCATATGGCTGATTAAGTGGTTTGAGTCCTGGATCTGACAGCTCAAAAACATGAAAGGCACATGTGCATGTGTGACCAAAATCCCACGAGGAGAGAGTAGATCTTACCTATTCTCATTGCTGGGGGAAAATAGGTGACAGGTATTAGTCTGACTATGGCAATGTGTTCACAAGGTATAAACATATTTCCAAATCCCAGGCTGGCCCTGTAGCGCAGTGGTTCAGCGCGGTGCACGAAAACCCTGATCCTGGGGCCAGCAGATGGTGCGGCAGTCACGGTGCTGGACTCATACATGGCCAACCAGTTTGAGTCCTGGACCAGGCGGCTTGAAACTCATGCCAGACGTGTGTGTGTGTGCGTGCGTGCCCAAGATCCTGAGAGAAGAATGGAGGAGAAGGGATTGCGGCATGGCCATTCCTTCCCCCCAGGGGGTGATTTCTTGCTCTCTTCTCTCTCTTTCTCTTGCTCTGTCTCTCAGGCGAGCCCACGCGCCCTAGAGTAAAAGCTCTCTCAAGATAAAAAGGAAAGAAAAAGAAAACCTTGATCCCACATGGCTGACCATGGTTTAAACTCTAGTCCTGGTGACTTGAAAAACATGTCAGGTGTGTGTGTATGTGAGCAAGCATGCCCCGAATCCCAGTGGAATGTGGAATGAGGGAGGAGGATAGCGGTGTGACCATGCCCCACTGGGCACTGTGCTCTCTTCTCTCATTTTCTCTCTAGTGAGTGCATGCATCCTCTGGCAATGAGAAAACAACCACCCTAAATAAACAGAATTTTTATCTGTCAGTTATACCTCTATAAAGCTAGAAAATGTCGGGGGAAAAAATCTACTTTGTTAAATTTGACAATTACCAAATATTTCAGGAATTTAGCTAAGTTGTAAGCAGTACTGGTCATTCAAGAGAGTTCAGCCTGTTCACCTGAGCTGATTACACACTAAGCAAATTTGAATAGAGCGGGATGATTTGCAAGGAACAATTGCAATGTTGTGTTTACAATTTTAACTCATTAAATCTGAATTGTTAAAACTCGGTAGCTGAAAATAGTCTTCTAGAAACAGAAAGTTGCATTCATAAGATTAAAAAAAAAAAAAAACACCATGGGACCAGCAGTTGGCATAATGGCTATGTGGCTGGACTCCCATGTTGTCGATCGTGGTTCAAGTCCTGGACCTGGTGGCTTAAACTCATGTCAGGCACATGTGCGTGCGTGCCTAAGATCCCAAGAGGAGAGGAGGAGAAGGGATAGTGGTGTGGCCATCCTCCCTGGGGGACAATTTCTCTCTGTCTTTCTGGTGGGAGCACATGCCCTGTAGCAAAAACCTCTCCAAAAAAAAAAAAGAGAGAGGGAGAGAGAGCAAACCCACTTTGGCCCTGTAAATATTACATTTTCAGTAACTTAACCATTTTCTATCATTTTTATATTAAAATCTCTGAGAAAAAGGAAAAAAAAATCCAGAATCAGAATTCCATCTTTCTGAATATCAAATAACATGATGTATGGGACCGGCAGGTGGCATAGTGGTTAAGGCCCTGGACTCCCACCTGGCTGACCACAGCTTGAGCCCCAGACCTGCCAGGCACGTGTGCATGCGTGCCCAAAATCCCAGGAGGAGCAAAAAGGAGAAGGGATTGTGGCATGGCCATCCCCACTATGGGTGATTTCCCACTACCCTCTCATTGTCTCTGTCCCCTTCCAACAAGCACATACACCTTACAGCAAAAACCAAACCAAAAAGTCAACATCTCCATACCTCCCCAGGTGGCGATGTGAATTTTCTTCCACCAAATGTAGAGGAAAATAAGAGTACACAGGATGAACTGGGAGGTGGTGTTGGCCCAGGCAGACCCTCTACAAGAGAAATGGAAGTGTTAGGAGAGAAGACAGAAGCCCACGTGGCCACCTTCTGCTCTGTACTAAGAACCATAGTTACCAGAGAAGCCTCGAGCCCTGGACTGTCTTCTTTCAGTATTTTAAACACTGGGCGCCAGACGGTGGAGCAGCAGGAACGCAACACTCTGTGGGGCTGACCCGCCAGCAAGGGTTCTGGGTTCCTACCTGGAGGCCTCCCTGAGCACGCCAGGCACATACGTGCCCATGACCTAGGCTGCCTAAGATGGGGTGGGGGTGCAGCATGAATACTCTGTGGGGGTCCGTCTCTCTCTTCCTCTTCCTTGTTTAAGAAAAGATAAACAGAATTGAAAAAAATATATATTTTAAACACTGATTCTACTTATAATAGACTTTTTTTTTCTCCAAGATTGAATTTGGGGGGTCAACAGGTGGCGTGGTAGTGAAGGTGCTGGACTCCCATGTGGCTGACAGTGACTTCAGTCCTACATCTGGTAGCTTGATAATCACGCTGGACACGTGTGCACACATGCCCAGAATCCCAGGAAGAGATGGTGGAGACGGGTCTGCAGTGTGGCCATTCCCTCTGGGGGTGATTTCTTTTCTTTCTTTCTTTTTTTTTTTAAATTTTATTTATTTATTTATCTATTCGTTTATTTACAGTTATTCTCTATATACCAATACCGTATACAAAAAGAGATTTTCCATCCAGTACACATGGTATATCGGCTAAATGAAGGGTATTACCATACATGCTGTCATCATAATTTTCTATTTCTTGTTTCTATTTCTGTCTCATTTCTTTTATATTTGCAATAGCAAGCACAGCTGATACATACATACACAAGAACCCATGTCTGACTTTAGGCATAAACCTCAGTGAGTAGAATGAACATACTATAAA